ACAGCATAGTGGTTAGACATTTATATAAATTGATCCCCTGCCTAGTCTAGTAGTATCGTCTGGCACTATATATAGTTATGATCATATTATTGACTATATTCCCTTTTTCACCTTGTCCACCAACCTCCCTCTCATCTATTACCCCAAAAATTTAGCATCCATTTGACATCATACATAGTTACTACAATATTATTGACTACATTCATTGTTGGGAGCCATGAGAGCCTGCTGAGAGCTGCTGAGAGCTGCCTGCCACTTGCTGCAGCCTTAAGAGCTGCTTTCTATTAGATACTTTCTGCAGCCTAAGCAAATGCCTGTGCAGATCCTGATAGTCTGGTAAGAACAGCAAGTTCTTGAGAACAAGGAACCAGGCACAGTTACAGCCTTGAGAATGAATACTTAGTATAGCTGCCTAGCTAGTAGGAGATGTTGCTTATCTAACAGGGACAGAACAGGGACAGAGGATGATATTGTTAATTGTATGATCTGATGCTCTGTACGCACGTAGTGCCTCCCTTAAAGATGCTATGTGAAATAAACTTGGGGTTTCAGTATTAAGCACTGGAGTCCTCCCGGTAATTCTCTCTCTTCTGTCTCTTTTTTCAGCCTAGCGCCCCTCTCAGGACTGTTCGATCTTATCGGCTGGGTCCGATAATTCCTTATGCTATAACCTATATCTCCATGACTATGTTGTAACTACCAATTTATACTTCTTAATCCCTATCCCTTATTCACACACCTCCCTGATCCCTCTCATCTGACAACCACCAAAATGTTCTCTGTATCTATGAGTTTGTTCCTGTTTTGTTTGTATATTTTGTTCTTTAGAGTCCTCATATAAGCAAAATCACATTGCATCTGTCTATGTCTGACACACTCCACTCAGCACAATACCCTCCAGGTCCATCCATGCTGCCACAGATGGCAAAAACCCATTCTCCTCCATGGTCAAACAATATTCCATTGCATATATGTACCACCTACTTTTTATCCATTCATCTATTGAAGAACACCCAGCCTGTCTTCACATCTTGCCTATGGCAAACAATGCTGCAATGAACATATGGATGCACAGTCCACTCAAAATAGCATTTTGGGTTTCTTTGGGTAAATACCTAGAACTGGGATTACTGGGTCCTTCTTTGTCTCTTGTTATAGCCTTTGTTTTAAAGTCTATTTTGTCTGGTATAAGTACTGCTACTCCAGCATTTCTGTTTGTTTGTTTACATATTTATAAAATATCTTTTTCCATCCTTTTACTTTCACTCTATATGCGTCCTTTGATCTGAAGTGAGTCTCTTGTAGGAAGCATATGTAAGGGTCTTGTTTTCTTATCCATTCAGGCACTTTGTGTGTTTATATTGGAACATT